TCTGGTGGCATAGTTTCCTCCAAGGTCTGGTGGCATAGTTTCCTCCAAGGTCTGGTGGCATAGTTTCCTCCAAGGTCTGGTGGCATAGTTTCCTCCAAGGTCTGGTGGCATAGTTTCCTCCAAGGTCTGGTGGCATAGTTTCCTCCAAGGTCTGGTGGCATAGTTTCCTCCAAGGTCTGGTGGCATAGTTTCCTCCAAGGTCTGGTGGCATAGTTTCCTCCAAGGTCTGGTGGCATAGTTTCCTCCAAGGTCTGGTGGCATAGTTTCCTCCAAGGTCTGGTGGCATAGTTTCCTCCAAGGTCTGGTGGCATAGTTTCCTCCAAGGTCTGGTGGCATAGTTTCCTCCAAGGTCTGGTGGCATAGTTTCCTCCAAGGTCTGGTGGCATAGTTTCCTCCAAGGTCTGGTGGCATAGTTTCCTCCAAGGTCTGGTGGCATAGTTTCCTCCAAGGTCTGGTGGCATAGTTTCCTCCAAGGTCTGGTGGCATAGTTTCCTCCAAGGTCTGGTGGCATAGTTTCCTCCAAGGTCTGGTGGCATAGTTTCCTCCAAGGTCTGGTGGCATAGTTTCCTCCAAGGTCTGGTGGCATAGTTTCCTCCAAGGTCTGGTGGCATAGTTTCCTCCAAGGTCTGGTGGCATAGTTTCCTCCAAGGTCTGGTGGCATAGTTTCCTCCAAGGTCTGGTGGCATAGTTTCCTCCAAGGTCTGGTGGCATAGTTTCCTCCAAGGTCTGGTGGCATAGTTTCCTCCAAGGTCTGGTGGCATAGTTTCCTCCAAGGTCTGGTGGCATAGTTTCCTCCAAGGTCTGGTGGCATAGTTTCCTCCAAGGTCTGGTGGCATAGTTTCCTCCAAGGTCTGGTGGCATAGTTTCCTCCAAGGTCTGGTGGCATAGTTTCCTCCAAGGTCTGGTGGCATAGTTTCCTCCAAGGTCTGGTGGCATAGTTTCCTCCAAGGTCTGGTGGCATAGTTTCCTCCAAGGTCTGGTGGCATAGTTTCCTCCAAGGTCTGGTGGCATAGTTTCCTCCAAGGTCTGGTGGCATAGTTTCCTCCAAGGTCTGGTGGCATAGTTTCCTCCAAGGTCTGGTGGCATAGTTTCCTCCAAGGTCTGGTGGCATAGTTTCCTCCAAGGTCTGGTGGCATAGTTTCCTCCAAGGTCTGGTGGCATAGTTTCCTCCAAGGTCTGGTGGCATAGTTTCCTCCAAGGTCTGGTGGCATAGTTTCCTCCAAGGTCTGGTGGCATAGTTTCCTCCAAGGTCTGGTGGCATAGTTTCCTCCAAGGTCTGGTGGCATAGTTTCCTCCAAGGTCTGGTGGCATAGTTTCCTCCAAGGTCTGGTGGCATAGTTTCCTCCAAGGTCTGGTGGCATAGTTTCCTCCAAGGTCTGGTGGCATAGTTTCCTCCAAGGTCTGGTGGCATAGTTTCCTCCAAGGTCTGGTGGCATAGTTTCCTCCAAGGTCTGGTGGCATAGTTTCCTCCAAGGTCTGGTGGCATAGTTTCCTCCAAGGTCTGGTGGCATAGTTTCCTCCAAGGTCTGGTGGCATAGTTTCCTCCAAGGTCTGGTGGCATAGTTTCCTCCAAGGTCTGGTGGCATAGTTTCCTCCAAGGTCTGGTGGCATAGTTTCCTCCAAGGTCTGGTGGCATAGTTTCCTCCAAGGTCTGGTGGCATAGTTTCCTCCAAGGTCTGGTGGCATAGTTTCCTCCAAGGTCTGGTGGCATAGTTTCCTCCAAGGTCTGGTGGCATAGTTTCCTCCAAGGTCTGGTGGCATAGTTTCCTCCAAGGTCTGGTGGCATAGTTTCCTCCAAGGTCTGGTGGCATAGTTTCCTCCAAGGTCTGGTGGCATAGTTTCCTCCAAGGTCTGGTGGCATAGTTTCCTCCAAGGTCTGGTGGCATAGTTTCCTCCAAGGTCTGGTGGCATAGTTTCCTCCAAGGTCTGGTGGCATAGTTTCCTCCAAGGTCTGGTGGCATAGTTTCCTCCAAGGTCTGGTGGCATAGTTTCCTCCAAGGTCTGGTGGCATAGTTTCCTCCAAGGTCTGGTGGCATAGTTTCCTCCAAGGTCTGGTGGCATAGTTTCCTCCAAGGTCTGGTGGCATAGTTTCCTCCAAGGTCTGGTGGCATAGTTTCCTCCAAGGTCTGGTGGCATAGTTTCCTCCAAGGTCTGGTGGCATAGTTTCCTCCAAGGTCTGGTGGCATAGTTTCCTCCAAGGTCTGGTGGCATAGTTTCCTCCAAGGTCTGGTGGCATAGTTTCCTCCAAGGTCTGGTGGCATAGTTTCCTCCAAGGTCTGGTGGCATAGTTTCCTCCAAGGTCTGGTGGCATAGTTTCCTCCAAGGTCTGGTGGCATAGTTTCCTCCAAGGTCTGGTGGCATAGTTTCCTCCAAGGTCTGGTGGCATAGTTTCCTCCAAGGTCTGGTGGCATAGTTTCCTCCAAGGTCTGGTGGCATAGTTTCCTCCAAGGTCTGGTGGCATAGTTTCCTCCAAGGTCTGGTGGCATAGTTTCCTCCAAGGTCTGGTGGCATAGTTTCCTCCAAGGTCTGGTGGCATAGTTTCCTCCAAGGTCTGGTGGCATAGTTTCCTCCAAGGTCTGGTGGCATAGTTTCCTCCAAGGTCTGGTGGCATAGTTTCCTCCAAGGTCTGGTGGCATAGTTTCCTCCAAGGTCTGGTGGCATAGTTTCCTCCAAGGTCTGGTGGCATAGTTTCCTCCAAGGTCTGGTGGCATAGTTTCCTCCAAGGTCTGGTGGCATAGTTTCCTCCAAGGTCTGGTGGCATAGTTTCCTCCAAGGTCTGGTGGCATAGTTTCCTCCAAGGTCTGGTGGCATAGTTTCCTCCAAGGTCTGGTGGCATAGTTTCCTCCAAGGTCTGGTGGCATAGTTTCCTCCAAGGTCTGGTGGCATAGTTTCCTCCAAGGTCTGGTGGCATAGTTTCCTCCAAGGTCTGGTGGCATAGTTTCCTCCAAGGTCTGGTGGCATAGTTTCCTCCAAGGTCTGGTGGCATAGTTTCCTCCAAGGTCTGGTGGCATAGTTTCCTCCAAGGTCTGGTGGCATAGTTTCCTCCAAGGTCTGGTGGCATAGTTTCCTCCAAGGTCTGGTGGCATAGTTTCCTCCAAGGTCTGGTGGCATAGTTTCCTCCAAGGTCTGGTGGCATAGTTTCCTCCAAGGTCTGGTGGCATAGTTTCCTCCAAGGTCTGGTGGCATAGTTTCCTCCAAGGTCTGGTGGCATAGTTTCCTCCAAGGTCTGGTGGCATAGTTTCCTCCAAGGTCTGGTGGCATAGTTTCCTCCAAGGTCTGGTGGCATAGTTTCCTCCAAGGTCTGGTGGCATAGTTTCCTCCAAGGTCTGGTGGCATAGTTTCCTCCAAGGTCTGGTGGCATAGTTTCCTCCAAGGTCTGGTGGCATAGTTTCCTCCAAGGTCTGGTGGCATAGTTTCCTCCAAGGTCTGGTGGCATAGTTTCCTCCAAGGTCTGGTGGCATAGTTTCCTCCAAGGTCTGGTGGCATAGTTTCCTCCAAGGTCTGGTGGCATAGTTTCCTCCAAGGTCTGGTGGCATAGTTTCCTCCAAGGTCTGGTGGCATAGTTTCCTCCAAGGTCTGGTGGCATAGTTTCCTCCAAGGTCTGGTGGCATAGTTTCCTCCAAGGTCTGGTGGCATAGTTTCCTCCAAGGTCTGGTGGCATAGTTTCCTCCAAGGTCTGGTGGCATAGTTTCCTCCAAGGTCTGGTGGCATAGTTTCCTCCAAGGTCTGGTGGCATAGTTTCCTCCAAGGTCTGGTGGCATAGTTTCCTCCAAGGTCTGGTGGCATAGTTTCCTCCAAGGTCTGGTGGCATAGTTTCCTCCAAGGTCTGGTGGCATAGTTTCCTCCAAGGTCTGGTGGCATAGTTTCCTCCAAGGTCTGGTGGCATAGTTTCCTCCAAGGTCTGGTGGCATAGTTTCCTCCAAGGTCTGGTGGCATAGTTTCCTCCAAGGTCTGGTGGCATAGTTTCCTCCAAGGTCTGGTGGCATAGTTTCCTCCAAGGTCTGGTGGCATAGTTTCCTCCAAGGTCTGGTGGCATAGTTTCCTCCAAGGTCTGGTGGCATAGTTTCCTCCAAGGTCTGGTGGCATAGTTTCCTCCAAGGTCTGGTGGCATAGTTTCCTCCAAGGTCTGGTGGCATAGTTTCCTCCAAGGTCTGGTGGCATAGTTTCCTCCAAGGTCTGGTGGCATAGTTTCCTCCAAGGTCTGGTGGCATAGTTTCCTCCAAGGTCTGGTGGCATAGTTTCCTCCAAGGTCTGGTGGCATAGTTTCCTCCAAGGTCTGGTGGCATAGTTTCCTCCAAGGTCTGGTGGCATAGTTTCCTCCAAGGTCTGGTGGCATAGTTTCCTCCAAGGTCTGGTGGCATAGTTTCCTCCAAGGTCTGGTGGCATAGTTTCCTCCAAGGTCTGGTGGCATAGTTTCCTCCAAGGTCTGGTGGCATAGTTTCCTCCAAGGTCTGGTGGCATAGTTTCCTCCAAGGTCTGGTGGCATAGTTTCCTCCAAGGTCTGGTGGCATAGTTTCCTCCAAGGTCTGGTGGCATAGTTTCCTCCAAGGTCTGGTGGCATAGTTTCCTCCAAGGTCTGGTGGCATAGTTTCCTCCAAGGTCTGGTGGCATAGTTTCCTCCAAGGTCTGGTGGCATAGTTTCCTCCAAGGTCTGGTGGCATAGTTTCCTCCAAGGTCTGGTGGCATAGTTTCCTCCAAGGTCTGGTGGCATAGTTTCCTCCAAGGTCTGGTGGCATAGTTTCCTTCAAGGTCTGGTGCATGGTGAAAGTGAGTGGGTGGAATCGAGCGACCATAAGAGTGTGAGGCGACGATCGGACCCCCTTTCCCACACCCTTCTCCCTGCCCTCCCTTCCTCTTCATTCCTGTTCTCCCTCCCTTCCTGGCCCCTTGCCTGTCTTCCAGGGGTGATTGAGGAACCAAGAAGGTGCCCCTGGCCCGAGTGTGGGGCATTGAACAGCATGACGCTGATTCACAACCGCAGCCGATTCATCAACAAGCAGATGCTGCGCCTGCAGGAGACACCCGAGGACATGCCTGAAGGGGAGACTCCACATACTGTTTCCGTGTTCCTGTTCGACTCGCTCGTGGACACTGCGAAGCCAGGCGACCGAGTAGAGGTGAGTTTCTTTCTCTTCTGCATGGTAGTATTAGAGAGGCGGTTGCACCTGTAGGAGACACCCGAGGACAGTCTGAAGGGGAGACCCCGCACACTGTGTCTGTGTTCCTCTTTGACTCGCTCGTGGACACTGCCAAGCCGGGTGACCGAGTGGAGGTGAGCATCTTTTCTTCCTCTCTTACATGGATTAGTACCAGTGGGGTGGGTGCGCCTGCAGGAAACACCCGAGGACATGCCAGAAGGGGAGACCCCGCATACTGTGTCCGTGTTCCTGTTTGACTCTCTGGTGGACACTGCCAAGCCGGGCGACCGAGTGGAGGTGAGCTTCTTTCTTCCTCTCTTACATGGATCCTTGTACCGGACATGCCTGCGCCTGCAGGAGACCCCGGAGGACATGCCTGAAGGGGAGACTCCACATACGGTGTCTGTGTTCCTGTTTGATTCCTTGGTGGATACTGCCAAGCCGGGCGATTGAGTGGAGGTGAGGTGATTGCTCAAAGCAATTTGGGAAACGACGCAGAGCTCAATGCCCCAACGGGTGGCCACTTGCATGGCATCGGCTTCCTTTTTGTACTTAGCAACCCACTTACTCGCTCCATAGGTGTTGCCAAGCTGAGTAACAGAGAGGAGAGTGCTAGTCTGTCTGGTCTGGTCCGGGTTCCAACGCGTCTAGTTGCGTTTGCTTAAGAAAAGTGCTTACCCCTCCCCACCCTCCAATTTCAACCATACCATGCGTGCATTTCTCCTGCCTCCTCCACACCGGGGCTGTGATGTGCCTTGGTGTTGACCTTTTCAAGTCCTGGCGACTTGTGCAGGTTTTGAGACTTCACAGAAAAAAAAACAAAAAAAAAAACAAAAAAAAAAAACAAACAAAACTCTGCAGCGTAGCAACCAGGCCGACTGATTGGCTGACCGGTCCAGGCTGGGCCGGGGCCCCTTGTGTGCCCTGCCTCGATGACCAGCGCACCGGGCCGCTGCCGACTGACCGAACTGACCGGCCTGCTTGTGTGTGCCTTGGCTGTCTCACAATGCTTTCGTGTGCAGGTGACGGGGGTGTTTCGAGCCGTGCCCGTGCGAGTCAACTCCAACCAGCGCAACCTGCGCTCGCTGTACCGGGTGGGTCTGTGGAGGGATGGTGGGTAAGTGTACAGGTGGGTGGGGGAGTTGAGTGGGCCGGGTGGTTTTGAGACGTCTTAAGGGTCAACTCCAACCAGCGCAACCTGCGCTCGCTGTACCGGGTGGGTGGGTGGGGGGGAAGTGGGTGGGTGGGTTTGGGGTTGGGTTGGTGGTTGGTGGGCGGGCGGGTGGGCGAGTGGTGGGCGGGCGGGTGGGTGGTGGCTGGCTGCTGCTGCCGCTGCTGCCACCACCGCTGCTGCCGCTGCGGTCGCATGTTTTAATCGATTCAGAAATTCGCAATCGCAATCACAGTCTTACTAGCAAGGAGGAGGGTTGCACACGCAACAAGGGGGCAGCATATCAGACATTCCTTCCTTTCCCACTCTCTCCCTCCTGCTCGCCCCATGCCTGCAGACCTATCTGGATTGCATTCACATCCGCAAGGAGGAAGGGGGCCGCACGATCAACAAGGGGGCAGCGCAGCAACAGACAAAGGAACAAGCTCACCTTCTCCCTCCCCTGATTCTCTCTCCCCCTTCACACAGACCTATCCGGATTGCATTCACATTTGCAAGGAGGAGGGGGGCCGCACGCGCAACAAGGGGACAGCACAGCAGACATGGGAACAGAACAAGCTCACCTTCTCTTTTTCCCCCATCTCTTCGCTGCACCCCTCCTTTACCCCCGCCCTCTCCCACCACCCCTCGCCATGCAGACCTATCTGGATTGCATTCACATCTGCAAGGAGGAAGGGGGCCGCACACGCAACAAGGGAGCAGCGCAGCAGTCGCAGTCCCAACAATCACTGGCTGGGGGCGATGCTGATGATGCCAACCCTGACGCTGCCTACTTCTCACCACAGCAGGTATGAAGTTTTGTTTCGCAATTTGAGAATCTTCTAAAAAGGAGCAGCGCGGCAGGTGGAGGTGCAGGATAGATGGGTTTCGCATTTCGAGAATTTCGCCTTTTTGAGGGTTTCTGACAAATACTTCTCTCAGAGCTTTTGCCAGCCTGTCTTTTTATCATGGATGCTGCTTGACCAAACACATTAGCCATTTGAGCGCGCATAACCTCAAAAGCTATCCATCCATCCGTCTGTCGCACTCTACACCCCGCCAGGTGGAGGCATTTCGGGAACTATCCCGGCAGCCGGACATATACGAGAGGCTGGCTCGCTCCCTGGCACCGTCCATCTATGAACTCGATGACATCAAGAAGGGACTGCTGTGCCAGGTGGGGTAGAGGGGGATGGGGGATGACTAGCATTCTTTAGTCTCTCTATGCTACATGCACATCACACGTGCTCCCTGGCGCCGTCCATCTATGAGCTGGATGACATCAAGAAGGGGCTGCTGTGCCAGGTGGGGTAGAGGGGGAGTGAGTGCTGTGCCAGGTGGGGTAGAGGGGGAGTGAGTGCTGTGCCAGGTGGGGTAGAGGGGGAGTGAGTGCTGTGCCAGGTGGGGTAGAGGGGGAGTGAGTGCTGTGCCAGGTGGGGTAGAGGGGGAGTGAGTGCTGTGCCAGGTGGGGTAGAGGGGGAGTGAGTGCTGTGCCAGGTGGGGTAGAGGGGGAGTGAGTGCTGTGCCAGGTGGGGTAGAGGGGGAGTGAGTGCTGTGCCAGGTGGGGTAGAGGGGGAGTGAGTGCTGTGCCAGGTGGGGTAGAGGGGGAGTGAGTGCTGTGCCAGGTGGGGTAGAGGGGGAGTGAGTGCTGTGCCAGGTGGGGTAGAGGGGGAGTGAGTGCTGTGCCAGGTGGGGTAGAGGGGGAGTGAGTGCTGTGCCAGGTGGGTTGAAGCGGAAGTGACTGTCATCTTAGTGTGCATGCAACAAGAACACCTCATGTGCTCCCTGGCGCCGTCCGTCTACGAGCTAGATTACATTAAGAAGGGGCTGCTGTGCCAGGTGGGTGGGGGGGGGAAGGGGGAGTGAGTAGCAACGTATGCTCTATTCCAGCCAACAGCTCACCACAGGCGCTCCCTGGCGCCGTCCATCTACGAGCTGGATGACGTCAACAAGGGGTTGCTGTGCCAGGTGGGGGGTGTGCGGGTTGCTGTGCCAGGTGGGGGGTGTGCGGGTTGCTGTGCCAGGTGGGGGGTGTGCGGGTTGCTGTGCCAGGTGGGGGGTGTGCGGGTTGCTGTGCCAGGTAGGGGGTGTGCGGGTTGCTGTGCCAGGTGGGGGGTGTGCGGGTTGCTGTGCCAGGTGGGGGGTGTGCGGGTTGCTGTGCCAGGTGGGGGGTGTGCGGGTTGCTGTGCCAGGTGGGGGGTGTGCGGGTTGCTGTGCCAGGTGGGGGGTGTGCGGGTTGCTGTGCCAGGTGGGGGGTGTGCGGGTTGCTGTGCCAGGTGGGGGGTGTGCGGGTTGCTGTGCCAGGTGGGGGGTGTGCGGGTTGCTGTGCCAGGTGGGGGGTGTGCGGGTTGCTGTGCCAGGTGGGGGGTGTGCGGGTTGCTGTGCCAGGTGGGGGGTGTGCGGGTTGCTGTGCCAGGTGGGGGGTGTGCGGGTTGCTGTGCCAGGTGGGGGGTGTGCGGGTTGCTGTGCCAGGTGGGGGGTGTGCGGGTTGCTGTGCCAGGTGGGGGGTGTGCGGGTTGCTGTGCCAGGTGGGGGGTGTGCGGGTTGCTGTGCCAGGTGGGGGGTGTGCGGGTTGCTGTGCCAGGTGGGTTGAAGGTGGCAGGTGGGGGGCATGGACAAACGGTTTCCATTCAGCGTCCTTCCGTTCTGTCCTTCAGTAGGGGGAAGTAAGGAATTGTCATTCCATTCTCCAACCAGCATGACATGAACGTGCTGCTGGTGGGGGACCCAGGCGCTCACACACGCACGCTGTGGCTGACTTGCCTTGACTTGCCTTGACTTGCGTTGACTTGCTTGACATCTCCGTTATCCTTCTTGTCTTCCTCTTGCAGCTCTTTGGCGGGTCAGTGAAGCGCTTGTCATCAGGAGTGCAGTTCCGCGGGGACATGAACGTGCTGCTGGTGGGGGATCCAGGCACAAGCAAGTCGCAGCTGCTGCAGTATGTGCATAAGATCGCACCCAGAGGCATCTACACCAGTGGCCGGGGCAGCAGTGCCGTGGGCCTTACAGCTTATGTGACAAAAGACCCTGAAACACGCGAAATGGTGAGCTGGGGTTGGGAGGTTGTTAAGTTGATGCTTTTCAACTAGGGGCACGAGCAAGTCGCAGCTGCTGCAGTATGTGCACAAGATCGCTCCCAGAGGCATTTACACCAGTGGGCGGGGCAGCAGTGCTGTTGGCCTTACTGCCTACGTGACAATAGACCCTGAAACACGCGAAATGGTGAGCTGGGGTTGGGTGGTTGTTAAGTTGATGCTTTTCAACTAGGGGCACGAGCAAGTCGCAGCTGCTGCAGTATGTGCACAAGATCGCTCCCAGAGGCATTTACACCAGTGGGCGGGGCAGCAGTGCTGTTGGCCTTACTGCCTACGTGACAAAAGACCCTGAAGCACGCGAAATGGTGAGCTGGGGTTGGGTGGTTGTTAAGTTGATGCTTTTCAACTAGGGGCACGAGCAAGTCGCAGCTGCTGCAGTATGTGCACAAGATCGCTCCCAGAGGCATTTACACCAGTGGGCGGGGCAGCAGTGCTGTTGGCCTTACTGCCTACGTGACAAAAGACCCTGAAACACGGGGTTGGGTGGTTGTTAAGTTGATGCTTTTCAACTAGGGGCACGAGCAAGTCGCAGCTGCTGCAGTATGTGCACAAGATCGCTCCCAGAGGGATTTACACGAGCGGGCGAGGGAGCAGTCCCGTGGGACTCACAGCCTATGTCACCAAGGACCCTGAAACACACGAGATGGTGAGCTGAGGCTGGGGTGTTGTTCTTGGATGGTTGTAGAGGCACGAGCAAGTCGCAGCTGCTGCAGTATGTGCACAAGATCGCACCCAGAGGCATCTACACCAGTGGCCGGGGCAGCAGTGCCGTGGGGCTTACAGCTTATGTGACAAAGGACCCTGAAACACGTGAAATGGTGAGTCCCCTACCCTAGTTCTCTGGTCTTGGTTCAGGTGCTTGCTGTTGGTGCTTTGTGTTTCGACGCACAAGAGAGCAACTCGCAGCTGCTGCAGTCTGTGTACAAGATTGCACCCAGATGCATCTACATTTTGCGGCGAATGCACAAGGATTGAATGCAGTGCTGCTGGGTGCTTCTGCCCTGCTTGCTCCCCCCCCCCCCCCCCCCCCCATTCGTGGCGATTGATTCCGCAGGTGCTGGAGAGTGGCGCTTTGATGCTGAGCGACCGAGGCATTTGCTGCGTTGATAAGTCCCTTGGTGACATAGGCGGCTGCATGCCTGACGTCTGTCTGCTTTCTCATGTGCTTCTTCTCCTCCGCTTCTGCTCTGCTCCTCCCATTCCTGACGTTTCTGCAGATGCTGGAGAGAGTGGCGCCCTGGTGCTGAGAGACCGGGGCATCTGCTGCATCGATCAGTTGAGAAAGCCTGGGTTGAATGCGGTGCCGCGTTCTGTTTTTTTTTCCTCCTCCCATTCCCCTGCCTGCCTGCGCCACAGGTCCTGGAGAGTGGAGCACTGGTGCTGAGCGACCGGGGCATCTGCAGTGCCACACCCTGCAGGGTGCATGCCTGACGAGCCGTGTTTTCTTTCTCCTCTGCTTCTTCTCTGCCCCACCCCCTCTGTCTGCCCGCCTCCAGGTGCTAGAGAGTGGAGCGCTGGTGCTGAGCGACAGGGGCATCTGCTGCATCGATGTGTTGAGGTTGAGAAACTCTGGGTTGAATGCGGTGCTGTGCGTTTTTCTTCCCATTCCTCTGTCTGCCTGCAGGTGCTGGAGAGCGGAGCATTGGTGCTGAGCGACCGAGGCATCTGCTGCATCGACGAGTTTGACAAGATGTCTGACAATGCTCGCAGCATGCTGCATGAGGTGAGGAGGGGAAGGGGGGGGGGGGGGGGGGGGGGGGGGGGGGGGGGAGGGAGAGGGGCGAATGAGCTGAAGGGCATGCAGCAGAATGAGGCACAAGACGGGGAGAGATCGACAGAGGCATCTGCTGCATCGACGAGTTTGACAAGATGTCTGACAATGCGCGTAGCATGCTGCACGAGGTGAGGGGAGGGGGAAGGAGTGGGGGAGGGGAGAGGGGGAGGGGGTTGCCATTGCGGGTGGGTGCATCTGCTGCATCGACGAGTTTGACAATGCGCGTAGCATGCTGCATGAGGTGAGGAGGGAGGAGGTGGGGCAAGGGGGATAAAGAGGGGGATGGGGGAGAGTGACTGAGGCATCTGCTGCATTGATGAGATTGACAAGATGTCTGACAATGCCCGCAGCATGCTGCACGAGGTGAGTGGGGGGGAGGTGTGTGTGAGGTGCAACATGGGCTGTGCATTGCGTTGAGCGTTGAGCGTTGAGTTTGCCCATGTTTGCTCAACGCACTGAGACGACTTTTGAGGCGTCTCAAAAGTTGTGGGCAAGTTTGCAAACATGGGCATGTTTGCAAACATGAGACGACTTTTGAGGCGCCTCAAAAGTTGTGGGCATGTTTGCAAACATGAGACGACTTTTGAGGCGCCTCAAAAGTCGTGGGCAAGTTTGCAAACATGGGCATGTTTGCAAACATGAGACGACTTTTGAGGCGCCTCAAAAGTCGTGGGCATGTTTGCCATGCTCAAGGCACTGAGACAGCCCACGTTGAGTTGGTGCACTGCACACACCAATGTGGCATCTCTGTGTTCCTTCTACTATGCCACCTTCCCCACTAGCACCAACTCAACACTGTGTGCATCAGTCCCCTTTCCCACCCACCGCATCAACCCCCACTCCCCATACCAGGTCATGGAGCAGCAGACGGTCTCGGTGGCCAAAGCAGGCACCATTGCAGCACTCAGCGCATGCACGTCTCGGCTCCCGCTGCATTGCGATACTTTAAGTGATACTAAACATTTCACGCTTGTGCAACTTCATCTCCGTTTGTACACACTCCCTCTCCCCCCACATCAGGTCATGGAGCAGCAGACGGTCTCGGTGGTCAAAGCAGGCATCGTCGCCACGCTCAACGCACACACTTCTGTGCTCGCCTGCGCCAACACTCAACCCATGTGTTTGTGTCTCCCCTCTCCACCCTTCCCCCCACAACCAGGTGATGGAGCAGCAGACGGTCTCGGTGGCAAAAGCGGGCATCATTGCAACGCTCAACGCACGCACGTCTGTGCTCGCCTGCGCCAACCCCCTTAACCACCGTGTATACACCCTGTCTGCCCCCATCAGGTGATGGAGCAGCAGACCGTGTCAGTGGCAAAAGCAGGCATCATTGCAACACTCAACGCACGCACCTCCGTGCTCGCCTGTGCCAACCCCTCTGGCTCGCGCTACAACCCGCGCCTTTCCGTGATTGATAACATCCAGCTGCCCCCCACCCTGCTCTCCAGGTATGCTTCAACAAGCATTGACCTAGTTTGACTTGTTTGACTTGTTCGATCTAATCTATCTGGTTCGAGGTTTCATTGCAAAGGACATGGCCGAGGTGGGAAATTCTCTCTCTTTTCTTCTCTTCCTCAATAAGTCTATCCTTGTTGTTTCTTGATATTGTCCCACCAGGTTCGATCTCATCTATCTCGTTCTCGACAAGGCCGAGGAGCAATCGGACCGGCGGTTGGCCCGCCATCTCGTCGCACTGCACTACAAGAACCCAGAGGTACTGTGTGCGGTGCAGAGGTAGGGTGAGCGGTGCAGAGATACTGTGTGCATGGCAGAGGTCGTGTGCGGTGCTGAGCTAGCTGCGTGCAGCGCTGAGGTAGTGTGTGTGGTGCATGATATTGCACCAGGCCTCTGGTTGATATTGCTCCGGGTGGATGCGCCGCTCTTGAGTCGACTCATAAGTCACCTCAATGCGCCACTCCCTAGGCCTCTGCAGCAGCCACGATCGATGTAGCAACGCTCCCCTCCTACATCACTGCCCGCACGCGCATCCATTGTTTGTTCCTCCTTGTTCCCTTTGGTCCACCTCCCTTCCAGACGTCTGCAGCAGCCACCATAGACGTCGCGACACTGACTTCCTACATCCCGCACGCGCATCCACCCGGAGTTGAGTGACGATGTGACAGAGGAGCTGGTGAATGCTCACCCGCCCCCTTGCTTCCCCCCTCTCCATCTCCCTCCCCTCCGTCCCCTCTCCCTCTCAGGCCTCTGCTGCCGCCACATACACACGCACGCACACGCAACCACCGGCATTAAATCCCCTTGTTTAACTCCCTTCACCCGCCAGGCCGCTGCTGCTGTCACCGTCGATGTGGCAACACTGACCTCCTACATCACATACGCACACACGCGCATTCACCCAGAGCTGAGCGACGAGGCGGCAGAAGAGCTGGTGAACACAAATTGATTCCTTATTCCCCTGCCCCTTTTTCCCCAAACCGCGGCTGCCGCCACTGTCGATGTGGCAACACTGACTTCATACATCACGTATGCGCGCACGCGCATTCACCGGCTTTAAATCCCCTTGCTTCCCCCCCTTCACCCGCCAGGCCGCTGCTGCAGCCACTGTCGATGTGGCCACACTGACTTCATACATCACGTATGCCCGCACGCGCATCCACCCGGAACTGAGCGACGAGGCAGCAGAGGAGCTGGTGAACGCTTACGTGGAGCTGCGAGGGCAGGGGTCGGGGAGAAAGGTATGCATGAGGAGAAGGGGTTTGGAGTGGGAAGAAGGGCAAGAGGTGAGGTTCTTAGAGAGATCTGAGCGATGAGGCGGCAGAGGAGCTGGTGAACGCATATGTGGAGGTGCGGGGGCGGGGGTCGGGGCGAAAGGTACGCTTGTAGCAAGGGGAACGGGAATGAGGGGGCTAGTAGAGAGGGGGGAAGCGGGGTTGTCTAGGAAGGGAGGCGGCAGAGGAGCTGGTGAACGCTCATGTGGAGGTGCGGGGGCGGGGGTTGGGGAGAAAGGTGAGGGACCCAGGGAGAAGGGAGAGGTAGTAAGGGGGTTGGTTTGGAAAGGGGGCTAGTGAATGCGTATGTGGAGCTGCGAGGGCAGGGGTCGGAGCGGAAGGTGAGATGGGGGAAACTTTTGAGAATTCTTACAAGCGATTACAGGGGAAAAGGAGGTAGGGGAAGGAGATCGGAAGGGGGAGGGGGGGGAGGCTGGTTTACAAAGAGAGTCAGTGGAGGAGGGAGGTGCTTGGCGGTTCCTGTTGTCAGAACTTTTCTGTGAATCTCAGGGGAGGGGGGTGTTTGGCGGTTTGGTGTGTTGATGATGCTCGGGTATGCTCACCTTGCATGCACTCACTGATGCACACGCATGGATGAGCCCATGCATGCACACAAACGTGTATCTGGCATGCCTCTCCATGCCGTTCCCCCTGCCACCTCATGACTTTTGAGTCGACTCAAATATGCACACACACGCATGCATCAGCCCATGCATGCACACAAGCGCGTACGTGGCATGCCTTTCCGCGCCATTCTCTCTGCCATGTCACCCCATGCCAGGTCATCACTGCAACGCCACGTCAGCTGGAGAGCCTGATCCGCATCAGCGAAGCGCTGGCCCGCCTGAAGCTGGCATTCACGGTGGGTTGGGGAGGGGAGGGGTTTGGGGGAGGGGAAGTGGGGGGAAGGGGGGAGAGGAAAGTGGGAGCCGAGGGTGTTGAGGCGCCTGGATAATCGCATCAGCGAAGTGCTTGTCCGTTTGAAGCTGGCTTCCACGGTGGGCTGGGGAGGGGAAGGGGGAAGGGGGGGAGGGAGGGGATGGGGGGGGAGGGGGAGAGGGCGGAAATGGGGGGCAGGGATGTTGAGGCGCCTGAATAATCGCATCAGCGAAGCACTCGCACGCTTGAGGCTGGCTTCCACGGTGGGTTGGGGAGGGGAAGGGGGGGAAGGGGAGAGGGAGAAGGGGAGAGGGCGAAGGGGTGGCTGTGGGTGTTGGGGACCCCACCACGGGCATTAGCTCAATCCCTCTCAATCCCTCTCACTCCCACACCACACCACCAGGTGACCCACGAGGACGTGACAGAAGCACGCAGGCTGCTAGACGTGGCAATGCAGCAGTCAGCCACGGACCCCACCACGGGCACCATCGACATGGACCTCATCACCACCACCACAGCCGTACCCACGTGCACTGACCCCCTCCCTCTGTCACTTTCCCTGTGTGCTGACACCACACCACCAGGTGACTCACGAGGATGTAACAGAAGCTCGGCGTCTTTTAGACATGGCAATGCAGCAGTCAGCGACCGACCCCACCACAGGCACCATCGACATGGACCCCCCTCTCTCCCTCTCACTCCCTCACTTCCCCTCTGTGCCGTTAACCGCAGGTGACCCATGAAGATGTGACAGAGGCAAGGCGCCTTCTAGACGTGGCAATGCAGCAGTCAGCCACGGATCCAACCACAGGCACCATCGACATGGATCTTATCACCACTGGCGTCTCTGCCAGTGAGAGGGCCAAGCGCACTCAGCTGCAGGAGGCGCTGCTCTCCTTCCTGCAGGACAGAAGTTCCTCCTCCCGCTCCTCCTTCCGAGCACCCCAGGTACTGTGGCCTGGTTTTTGTGTGTGCTGAGGTGCCAGCGAGAGGGCCAAGCTGGTGCAGCTGCAGGAGGCGCTACTCTCCTCCTTCCGAGCGCCCCAGGTAGTGTCAGGAGCCTCAAGTGCTCTCTCAGGTACTCTCAGGAGCCTCATGTACTGCTGTTGAGCATTGGCCTGGTTCGTGTGGGTGCTGAGGGGGTGCCAGAGAGAGGGCCAGTCGCTGCAGCTGCACTTGCGCGACACCACAGTACTTTACTCGCATGTAGTGTATAGTGTCGCTTGCTCCCCTGTGTATCCACCCGCACCGCACTGCATGTATTTGCACCCATGTGTGTCCTCCTGCTGCACGCATGTGTTTCCCATCTCCACCGGATTTTACCCATTTGCACCGCATTCGCAGGTGTGGGAGGACCTAAGGCAGCAATCATCCATACCTGTCACCCTCTTCGAGGTGAGCTTCTCATGCAATCTCTGGTGGGTGGTGGGAATGCAATGCGATGCAATCTTCGTCAGGCTCGTCAACATGTGTTATACACTCGTGTGGAGTGGCTCTCCGTGTTGTTTATTTTACACGCCTCCTTGTTTTGCCGACCTTCTCGTGCCACACCAGGTTCGCTAGGCTCTAGGGCGGCTGCATGGGGAAGGCAAGGCGATGTTAATTGATTTGTGTTGTTGAATTTCTCGTGCCTCATTATGAATGTGCGCCTCCTTGTCTTGCCTGCCTTCTCCTGCCACACCAGGTTCGTGAGGCTCTGGGACGGCTCCATGGGGAAGGCAAGGTGGTGTTCATTGATGACACTGTTCGAGTGGCATGAGTGACACTTCACAACACCCAGGTGCACTGAGGTGAATTTTGAGGTGCCTCAAAAATCTTCTCTAGGACGGCTCCATGGGGAAGGCAAGGTGGTGTTTATTGATGACACTGTTTGAGTGGCATGAGCCATGGCTTGGTGGATACACTCGATATGGGCGGTGTATAAGTAACCCTTAGGATGTTCTGTAGATTTCGTGAAAAAAAGGAAGGAATTGCGCAAAGGTTCATTTTGCCTGAATACCTCACCCAACCATTGCGCAAAAATTACACTGGCCGTTCTAAAACATGACTCATATCGTCGAACTGAACCTTATTTTTGAGAACTGTGACTAACACACAGCTGCGGAGAGGCAAGACGCCTCATGCATTTTTGTTCGGGCTTACCATATTAGCATGAAAGATGATATTCAGCGGCGTTATACTCAATTTCAACATTTACCCCAAGCTCTAATGCAGTGGTTGTGCTGCATACGAGTGTCCCTCTATGCTGTAGAGTACCCGGTCCATCGTGTCGAGTCGCTTCACCGACAATTTGGTCAAGGTAGGAGAATACGTGCACCAGCGACCGTCGATTCTCAGACGATGGCGGGCGGGAGCGTCGATCCCCAGTCAAAGTTTTCCGCATAAGACGAAACCTGTTCACCACCAAGCACGAAACCCCCGGATTTTTGGCTCTCTTCCAGTCACAGTTACAGTCAAAGTTCAGAGCGTTCGAGGTCGTGACAAATTTCAAATATTCAGTGCAGTTTTCGGAGAAGTTTCGTAATTGGAAAAGGGTTGACCAAAACCACACCAGCGGGCACACGGCGTGGCTGTTTGCAATGACGAATGGGGGCATCTGGCAGCTGATGAGGCAACGGTGATGAGGCGGATCTGCAGTAAAGGGGCACCGCTGACGTGGCGGAGCAGCTTCAGCTCCATTTGGGACAACCCGAAGATGACTCATCAACCACCGTAGGCTGATATAGGGAATCTGCGGTACACGATACTGCAGCTCTTCCCTCCCGATACAGTTACGACTGCCTGATGCGTTTTGTACATTATCCTTTAGTGTACTTTTCCGTATCAAAAGTACTTTTCCGTATGGGAAAATCACTGTGGTTCCATATCCGCAACTTGAGTCGGCTCTAGGGAAACCGAAAATGGCTGAGCGGTTGTTCGCGAGCTCCCAGCCAAAGCAGCCCTGGAAAGTGTAATTACCTTGTCAAAGCTTGAAGTGAGAGTGCATCCAAGTCGCACGCCCAGCGGTATGTTTGGAAAGTCATGAAAAGGAAGGGCGGGTGAAGGAAAGGGCGGGTCCTGGAGAGTCATGTGAAGTATTTGGCAGCAGTTGGCACGCAACCAAAGTTTTGCCCCTGGACCTGCATCTGGTCTGGATGGACTGATACAGAACAATCTGAGGCACTGAGGAACGATGGGTGGGGAGTCGGTCGGGGCGGGGGGAAGATGCGGTGATTCATGTAGCGAAGCAGCTAACAGCGGTTGCACTGCAGCAAGCAACCAGCTGGCTGGCCCGCCCACTAGAAACCCTAGTTTCGAATTTGGATTCTCCCCCTCCAACTCGCTGGATCCCCTGTGCTGCCGAACATCGCCCTAGGTTGGAACTCGAAACTTGGAAGGAATTGGAGGGCAGAAAGGCAGCTCTTCGTTCTGGCGTGACGAGACTACAGTACAATCTCCCACGCCACACTCCCCCGCGACCACTGGTCAACCCTTATCTGTTTCCCTCCAAACCGGCGAACTACAGTCAATCCCGCCTTTCTTGCTGCTCCTCCTGCTCCAGCTCCAGCTCTGACTTTTGACAAATTTGCGTCCAAGTTGAATCCCTGTCACCAATTTCTGACTGACTGATGCGCCTGGTGGACGATGCAGCTTGTGTTGCGTCCTAATCTCGTCGACAGCCTCAGTTCGGCCGTGCCAGCTTGCTGTACAAACTATAAAATTCCTAACTACGGTTGCAGCTTTCCATATCCAGCAAAATTACCCCACTAGTACACACTGTTTCTACTCTTACTGAGAGGCCCTCTCAGCCTTTGAATTTTCGTGCCGGGCACGCTCAGCTAATGGCGTGTTCACCCGAACGTTCTCTCATGGCTCACCATCTCTCGTCGTTCGCCCATCGCCCGCAACTTACGCTCACTTCGTCAACACCTCTTCCGCGACACGCGTGCTGTCCGAAAGCCGCTCGAGGCGACTCTTGTTGCTGTCGCACGCCCTCCCTAATCCATCACCCGCCGCGTCCTTTCACCGCCGTTACGAGTGCTTCTCCACAGCCGGCGACGACGGCGGGAACTTCGGCGGACGTCGCGGCAGGCGACGGTCCTGTGGAAAGATTTTTCAGTCCTCAAGGGGTGATTTTATCAGCGAATAAAAACGACAAATTTCCGTTAGCCCTATCCGTCAGTTCCTTTTCCTCAGTTTCTGCGGAGGTGGAGGAGGAGGATGAGAGCTGGAACAAGAGTCTCAGCGACGTCGTGGCGGCGCGTCTTTGTTCTGACAGTTCCGCGAATGTCGCTGCGGCCGACTTTCCAAACCAAACGGTCACCACGGCGCCAACCGACGCGGCTGCCGCCCAGCCGATGAGCGAATGGGAGGAGGAGTTTCTGCAGCAACTCGAACGTTCCATGGTGGATTCCCGCGGGAGGCTCGTCGAATCGCTTATGGACACCACCGTTAAAACGCGGTCCGGCTCGTCCCGCTCCAACAAACACGGTTTTATTCGTGCGAGGAGCCATAGCCAAGAGAGAGCGTCTCAGCAAAGACGGTCGTCTACTCAGGTCACTGAGGCCCCTAGGCGCGCTGTGAGCCATGGTGGTGGACTGGCACGGTCCCGCAAGCTGTGGCAATGGCTGCTGAGCGGTCCGTCATCTCCCAGCTATTGAGTTACTTGCTTTGTTTATGTTTTGTTGTTTTGTTGGTGTACCTTTACTGCAACATTATCGCAAATTTCCGTGGGGGGTGTAACTAGGGCGTGCGAAATGCTCCGCCTTTTTTCGCGAAATGTTTTACCCCCAACTGGCACGTCGCCACACGCTTCGCTTGTCGTCGCTCACAGACGAAAATTCCATTTCCCCAACCAGGATCTGTGACTCGCATTTGTAAAACCGCAGCACAAACCAGAGTGTAGGGTAACTGGACTGGTTAGTCACTCCAAATCCATTTTCTGAACGAGCTTCCACTGACTAGCTATGGCGGACACCTCGATCCCTTTGAGTCATTTCGACATTCTCCCCGACGAAATTCTCGCTGTTATTCTCCGCCACGTATCGTCGCGCGATCCTTCTCGGTTGAACCACGCGCTCACCTGCAAGCGGTGGCTGCGCGTTTCACGCCTTGTGCAAGCCACCGTCCACGTCCCACAAGGCCGACAACTCTCGGCATCTCAACTCCTCCACTCCCTCTCTCACCTCCCCAACCTCACGAGTCTTCACCTCGCGAAGCGCAGCGTCGACGTTACGGATGGCAGTTTTTTCCGCGAGCTCGGCTATTGCTGCTTCAGTAGTAATCTCACCCACCTTCACCTCGATGTTATCATAACCTCGAAATTGTCGACCAGCAAGAGTTTGCCTACTACCGACGATCTCGATTCCGGCCTCGGATCTCTATTTGAAGCTTGCGCGAATCTGAACGACGTGTCGACTTTTGAGTCGACTCAACAGTCATCCAGCAGCAGATTGCCTACTGCTACCTGCGATGTAGATTCCGGTCTCGAATCCCTCTTCCAAGCTTGCACGAATCTGAATGACGTGTCGCTCTCCCTCCCTTCATCGATCTCGTCGCTTCCGCCTTCCCTCTTCCGGTTAAGACAGCTCTCTCATTTACGCCTTTTCATCCACGGTCTCCGATCCTTACCACGTGACTTCTCCCACCTCGCACCGTCGCTCCGATCGTTGACCCTCATATCTTCTCAGCTAGAGATGCTACCTGAAACCCTAAGAAAATTTTCGTTGCTTCAAGAACTGACCCTGTCATGCATCAAAATGCATTCGTTTCCAGAGATAACCGCACACCAGCTGTCCAGCCTTCGTCTGGTTTCCCTTGACTGCCCAACTCTCGCCAGCCTGCCCGAGAATCTCTTCCACTTGCCATCTCTGACCACCTTGAAAGTTTTCTCTTCAAGATTCTCTTTGCTGCCCGGAAACCTAGGCGATTTGCACTCGCTAAGGCACTTAGAGCTATCTAGTCTCTACAGTCTTTCGCTTTTGCCGTTATCATTGGGGAACCTTGCGAACCTGGAAACACTGAGGCTCGACCAATGCTTCTCACTTACTCACCTTCCAGCTTCTCTCTCCTTCCTCCCCAAGCTCCACACCCTCTCCCTGTTTCGCTGCCCTTCGCTTGCCTCCTTGCCAGAGACTTTCGGTCAGCTTCCCGGCCTGAAAACATTGGAGCTGGTAGAATGCAGGAAATTTCAGCAGCTGCCCGAGTCCCTGACAGCTCTGCAGGCACTGACTCGCCTTGTGATTCAAGAATGTCACAACTTTCAGTCTCTGCCCGGAAACATCGGGCACATGAAGGGGCTGAGGGAACTCGTAATCTCTGCAAGTGATTGCATCCGGGAGATTCCACCAACGCTGATTCTCCTATCACAACTCGAGCGCCTGTCAATTTCAGACTGCCCGAAGCTCCGATTTTTTCTCGCCCTGAGCGGTGAACATTTCAAGAGCCTGACGCATCTGCAACTCACGCATCTCCCGTGCGTACCTGTACTGCCGAAAAACCTAGGGAAGCTTCCGAGGATCCAGGAGGTTCGGCTGAATGGTTCAAATCGTGTCCGGCAGCCACAGCTTCGAGAGTCATTCTACCCAAAGCCAGCCTTCTCTTGGGTGACCGTTGGTCCTCTCGCCTGGATTTCACAGAAACCTGGTTCTGAAGCATCGCCTGCACGCCTCTTTTCAATCATTCCGCCTGGTGGCGCGGGATTAGGAGATTGGGTCATTCGGCCTTTTGATTGAGTGGCCGTACGAGGCTCTTGAACTCATTCTTTGTTTCCTCTTGGTGCGCGGCCCGCCCTCTGTTCTTCTCCTCCTTGCCTTACTCTCTTGGCTTTTCCAAACTCACTCTTCAGCCTCCAGTCGGCAAATAAGAGCATGACACGTACACCTAAGGCCACGTTGCTGCGCCACCAGTTGAGCCTATCGGGACCTAGTAGTCAACCTCTCACTGCCAGTCTCTCACTGCCAGTCCTGCCTCAGAGAAGAATCTACTGAAACCAGGCATCACTATCCCGAGTTCAATCATTGACTGGGTGAACCCAAGAGCCGCAGAGGAGAGGAGAATCAGGAGAAGGTCAAGCTTAACAAGCAGCTGCCGTACCTCGTTGGGAACATCGTCGAGGTGAGCTGCTTCGGTCAGCTCTTTACTAGCATGTAACCACGTCAGCACAGCATACGGCAGCATGTGAACCTTTCAGTAGCAGCTCCCACCCTGCGCGTTCGTTAAACATTCTGCGTTTCAATATCCCCTTCCCCTCCCCCCCTGCTCTCAGGCCCTGGGCAGGGCATGAATCATGAGGACGAGACGCCCGAGGGCGGTGTGAAGCTGGATTAGGACTCGCTGCGCAAGCTCAAGTGCGCGGTGCTCAAGACGTTCTGGTGGTCGTCGGGGGGTTCGTGGTGAAGCCGGGGCGTGAGGACATGAGGACGCGCTGAAGCCGGGCGCCCTGGTGGGCGTGAACAAGGGCAGCCCGGCACGCTGAGGATGAGTAGCCCTGGGAGTAGCTGCCCTGACTCGTCCTCGGCATGACTCGCTGCCCTGACTCGTCCTCGGCATGGCACGCTGCCCTGACTCGTCCTCGGCATGGCTCGCTGCCCTGACTCGTCCTCGGCATGGCTCGCTGCCCTGACTCGTCCTCGGCATGGCTCGCTGCCCTGACTCGTCCTCGGCATGGCACGCTGCCCTGACTCGTCCTCGGCATGGCTCGCTGCCCTGACCCGTCCTCGGCATGGCACGCTGCCCTGACTCGTCCTCGGCATGGCTCGCTGCCCTGACTCGTCCTCGGCATGGCACGCTGCCCTGACTCGTCCTCGGCATGGCTCGCTGCCCTGACTCGTCCTCGGCATGGCTCGCTGCCCTGACTCGTCCTCGGCATGGCTCGCTGCCCTGACTCGTCCTCGGCATGGCACGCTGCCCTGACTCGTCCTCGGCATGGCACGCTGCCCTGACTCGTCCTCGGCATGGCTCGCTGCCCTGACTCGTCCTCGGCATGGCTCGCTGCCCTGACTCGTCCTCGGCATGGCACGCTGCCCTGACTCGTCCTCGGCATGGCTCGCTGCCCTGACTCGTCCTCGGCATGGCTCGCTGCCCTGACTCGTCCTCGGCATGGCACGCTGCCCTGACTCGTCCTCGGCATGGCTCGCTGCCCTGACTCGTCCTCGGCATGGCTCGCTGCCCTGACTCGTCCTCGGCATGGCACGCTGCCCTGACTCGTCCTCGGCATGGCTCGCTGCCCTGACCCGTCCTCGGCATGGCACGCTGCCCTGACTCGTCCTCGGCATGGCTCGCTGCCCTGACTCGTCCTCGGCATGGCACGCTGCCCTGACTCGTCCTCGGCATGGCTCGCTGCCCTGACTCGTCCTCGGCATGGCACGCTGCCCTGACTCGTCCTCGGCATGGCACGCTGCCCTGACTCGTCCTCGGCATGGCTCGCTGCCCTGACTCGTCCTCGGCATGGCTCGCTGCCCTGACCCGTCCTCGGCATGGCACGCTGCCCTGACTCGTCCTCGGCATGGCACGCTGCCCTGACTCGTCCTCGGCATGGCACGCTGCCCTGACTCGTCCTCGGCATGGCTCGCTGCCCTGACTCGTCCTCGGCATGGCTCGCTGCCCTGACTCGTCCTCGGCATGGCTCGCTGCCCTGACTCGTCTTCGGCATGGCACGCTGCCCTGACTCGTCCTCGGCATGGCTCGCTGCCCTGACTCGTCCTCGGCATGGCTCGCTGCCCTGACTCGTCCTCGGCATGGCTCGCTGCCCTGACTCGTCCTCGGCATGGCTCGCTGCCCTGACTCGTCCTCGGCATGGCACGCTGCCCTGACTCGTCCTCGGCATGGCTCGCTGCCCTGACTCGTCCTCGGCATAGCACGCTGCCCTGACTCGTCCTCGGCATGGCACGCTGCCCTGACTCGTCCTCGGCATGGCTCGCTGCCCTGACTCGTCCTCGGCATGGCTCGCTGCCCTGACCCGTCCTCGGCATGGCACGCTGCCCTGACTCGTCCTCGGCATGGCACGCTGCCCTGACTCGTCCTCGGCATGGCACGCTGCCCTGACTCGTCCTCGGCATGGCTCGCTGCCCTGACTCGTCCTCGGCATGGCTCGCTGCCCTGACTCGTCCTCGGCATGGCTCGCTGCCCTGACTCGTCTTCGGCATGGCACGCTGCCCTGACTCGTCCTCGGCATGGCTCGCTGCCCTGACTCGTCCTCGGCATGGCTCGCTGCCCTGACTCGTCCTCGGCATGGCTCGCTGCCCTGACTCGTCCTCGGCATGGCTCGCTGCCCTGACTCGTCCTCGGCATGGCACGCTGCCCTGACTCGTCCTCGGCATGGCTCGCTGCCCTGACTCGTCCTCGGCATGGCTCGCTGCCCTGACTCGTCCTCGGCATGGCTCGCTGCCCTGACTCGTCCTCGGCATGGCTCGCTGCCCTGACTCGTCCTCGGCATGGCTCGCTGCCCTGACTCGTCCTCGGCATGGCTCGCTGCCCTGACTCGTCCTCGGCATGGCTCGCTGCCCTGACTCGTCCTCGGCACGGCTCGCTGCCTGCCGAGTATGACTCGTGTGTGAAGCCCTTGGAGGTGGACGAGAGTCCTACAGAGGACTACGGCGATATTGGTGGGCTGGGCAAGCAGGTGGGGGGGTGTTGTTTTGTTGGTATGATGGGTTGGTTCGATGGGGCAAGCACGTGTTGCTTGGTGTGGTTGTGGGGTTCTGGTTTGCTAGGTGGATTCAGAGCTGTGAATGCTGCCCCACATGCATACCTCTATTAGTCGTATACAATTTTTCAAAGGCACGCTCAGCTCACAATGGCGTGTTCACCCGAACGTTCTCTCACGTCACACCATCCCCTCTCATTCACCCATCATCCGCACCACAGACTCCAAATCACGTCGCCATCGCCTCTTCCGCGACAAGGCCCGCCGTGCTGTCCGAAAGCCGCTCGAGGCGACTCTTGTTGCTGCTCCTTCCCGCGCTGCTCTAATTCCGAAACCTGCTGCCAAATTACTGCTCCCTGATCCACCACACGCGTCCCACCTCCGCCGTCACGACTTCTCCCCAGCAGCTGCCGGCGATGGCGGAAATTTCGACGGAAACTTCAGAGGTCGCCGTTGCACCACCTGCTGGTGGGTTAAGCCATTCCAGAGCTTTATCGTTAATAAAGTCACCACCACCACCACCACCACCACCACCACCACCACCACCACCACCACCACCACCACCACCACCACCACCACCACCACCACCACCACCACCACCACCACCACCACCACCACCACCACCACCACCACCACCACCACCACCACCACCACCACCACCACCACCACCACCATCAGCCACTGCTTCTCTTTGACTCACCTTCCAGATTCCCTCTCCTTCCTCCCCAAGCTCCACACCCTCTCCCTGATCGGCTGTCCGGCGCTTGCCTCCTTGCCTGATACATTCGGTCAGCTGCCCGGGCTGAAAACATTGGAGCTGGTCGCATGCAGGGAATTTCTGCAGCTGCCCGAGTCCGTGACAGATTCAAATTTGTGACAAATTTCGGTCTCTGCCCGAGAACATCGGGCACATGAAGGGGCTGAGAGATCTTGAAATCTGTGAAAGCAACTGCATCAGGGCAATCCCACCAACACTACTTCTCCTCTCGCAACTCGAGCGACTGTCAATTTCAGACTGCCCGAAGCTCCGATCTCTGCCCAAAGCCCTGGGCAGCGAAAAGCTGAAGAACTTGACGTACCTGGAACTTTTGCTCCTCCCATGCCTACCTGGGCTGCCCAGGAACCTAGGAAAGCTTCCGAGCATCCAGGAGTTTCGGCTGAATGACTCCAATCTGGTCCGGCAGCCACAGCTTCGGAAGTCGTTTCACCCCAAGCCAGCCTCATCTTGGGTGACTAATGGTCCTCTTGCCTGGATTTCGCAGCAGCCTGATACCGAAGCACCACGTTCTCCCCGCCTCTTTTCAATTATTTCTCCTGGTGGCACGGGGGGGGATTGGTTCATTCGGCGTCTCGATTGAATGTCCGGACAACGTTTGTTGGACTTGTCCTTAGCTTCTAGCCAAGAATTTGGTTGCTGGAACCACAGAGAGAATGTGCATAGTGACTCTTCGTACTCAGGGGGTGTGTTTGCAGGGGAAGGAGGGGGAGGGGGGGAGAGGGTGGGGTTGTGAGTGCTTGCATTCTTTTGATCTGTCATAAAAAAAAAACTACTTTTTTTCCGTTCACATGATACACATGCCTCAACCTTAGCAAATAACGAATCCAGCTGGGACGAAACACCCTAAACCCGAAACCCCGCATCACGTCCAGCACTCAAACTCCACCGATTTCATCGCCCTCCCGTCATTCATTTCTTCTCTGCTCTTACTTCCTGATGCTGATCAATCTCATCTCTACGACACCTCTAGGCATATTTCCTATTTTTGAGTCGACTCGAAAATAAGTACCGATTTAATCGCCCTCCCGTCATTCATTTCTTCTCTGCTCTTCCTTCCTGATGGCGACCAATCTAGTCTCTACGGCACCTATAGACATTTCTTCCAATTTTTGAGTCGACTCAAAAATAAGTACCGATTTCCGTCATTCATTTCTTGTCTGCTGTTTCTTCCCGATGGCAACCAATCTGGTCTCTACGACACCTCTAGGCGTATATTCCAACAGGATCCTCCGCGGGTCGATTTCTGATAGTAAAGTGTTGCGCAAGACAGACCTTTTCCCCTCGATCTCTTCGATCGCCGCATTTCCCGCACACTGCTTTCCCGCACATTCCTTCCCCGCAACCACGCCAAATGCGAACCGCCTTTTGAACAAGGTCGAATCCCTTGCCGATCAGATTGAAGGGCCAGGATCTTCCGCGCGGTTTGGCGCGCGCGGGGAACGAGACGGAAGCGATGGCCCCGGATACTCCCCCCAGAGGTCTTCCCCCGGGAATGCGGGTCGGGGTTGGGGCGGGGGAAGGTCAGGCGGAAGGGGAAGAGGCGGAGGGAGTAGGGGGGGAAGTAGGGGAGGCGGACCGGCGGGGGGAAGAGGGAGAGGCGGAAGGGGTTATGACGAGCGGACGGCTTGGAATCGGGAAAGGGGAGTGGATCGGGGCTATGCGCAGGGTAGAAACGGCGCGGATGATTATAGCGAGGATGATTACAGTGGCGGAGAGAAAGGTTCTCTCAATTCCGGAACGCGTTGGTCTGGTGACAGTAGTGAGCGTGCTTATAACGGAGGATGGCGATCGGACGACGACAAGCCGCCGCGGACGCTTTTGGACGTGCCGGATCGCGTTCGGAGGGGATCAGGGTCATACGTCAGCCGGCCGTACAGATCGTATGATGCGTACGAAGGGCGATCGTACGGCGGAGGGCGATCGTACGGCCGAGAGCGGTACGATTCCGGCGGGAGTGACGGGGAGCGCCCACCTGCGGGGAGGGCTCTTGGGCGGGGGCGTGGGCGGGAGGGGGGATGGGCAGGGGGAAGAGGCGGCCGCGGGGAAGCATGGGGCGGGGGGCGGCGGGGGAATTTTGAGGAAGGTAGGCCCGCGGGGAGGGTTCCCGCTGGGGGCAGGGGGCGGGGGGGAGCCTGGGGTGGGGAACGAGGTGAGCGCGGGGAAGGCTGGCGCGGGGCGCGAGGCGGGCGGGGGGGACTTGGCGGGAGGAGTGTAAGAGGACGCGGGGAAGCAAGGGGGAGCGGGAGGGGAGAGAGGGGAGGAGCGGGGGAGGCGTGGAGGGGAGGAGCGGGGAGCTCGTTAGCAGACTCTGTCGCGCAGCCAAGAGCGGGGGGGCGGGGCGAACGGGGAGAATGGCGCGACGGCCGGGAAGATTCGAGGAAAGTGAGGCAGTCTGATGCTTTGCCAGGGGTGAGGGTATGGGACGCTGCTTACGTGGAGGAGCCGGCGGCTGACGAATGGGGTTTTGAAGGGGACGAAATTGGCGAAGGGGAAGAAATTGGCGAAGTCTTCTCAACGAAGATGAGGGGTCCAGACGGAGAAGAATGGGAGGGTGACCCCGAATGGGAGGAGCGGCTATGGAGAAGCATGGAAGGAGGAGGAGGAGGAGGAGGAGGAGAAGGAGGAGGAGGAGGAGGAGGAGGAGGAGGAGGAGGAGGAGGAGGAGGAGGAGGAGGAGGAGGAGGAGGAGGAGGAGGAGGAGGAGGAGGAGGAGGAGGAGGAGGAGGAGGAGGAGGAGGAGGAGGAGGAGGAGGAGGAGGAGGAGGAGGAGGAGGAGGAGGAGGAGGAGGAAGAGGAAGAGGAGGCAGAGAAAAAAGAGACGACGTACAGTTTGAGGGACGATTCAGGGAAGTTTGCAGAGCGTTTTGTAGTAGAGGGCTTTCCAGCAGAGGGTTCTACAGCAGGGGGCCTTACAGCTGCTGACAGCCCAATTGTGGAAACAAATGCGAGGAGCTTGCGTGGCGAGCTGCGGCGGGGTTTAAGGGAGGGTGTAAGGGAGGGTTTAAGGGGGAGTTTGAGGGGGGCTGATGGGGAGGTCGGCGGGGAGGAGTGGCGGAGGCGGAAGGTGGGGTGGCTTGCGCGGGAGGTGGCAGCGGTGGTGCCGAGTGGGATGGTGCGCCTGCTGAACGCACAGAAGCAGTGGATGCGCATGGGCGACCTGATCGCTGTAGTGGAGAGCCTTATAACGAGGAAGGAGGTGGTGCGCGGGATACGGGTGAGTGGCGGTGCTTTTTTGGTGGCACTAGCCTTTAGGCATTGGCATCAATCGGAAGCCAAAAGCATTCAGCCATATGCCAGCCATATTTCTTGAATCATAAAGCAGAAATGAGAAACCATAAACCAGGGGGAACCAGAACATGAGAAGAAGGTAGATACTTTTTCTCTTCTGTTTCTCCACCCCATTGTCTTCTCCCACAGCCTTCCCCAACTCTTTGCCCCTTTTGAGTCGACTCAAAAGTCACCTCGACTCAAAAGTCACCTCGACTCAAAAGTCACCTCGACTAAAAAGTCACCCCATTGTCTTCTCTCACAGCCTTCCCCTACTCCTTGCCCCCTTTTTCCCCCATTTCCCCCTCACACGTCTTCCAGAGGGCGTTGCATCCGTCTTTTTACGATAATATATTCTTTCCTCATTTATATCTCCATTCCCTTGCCTTCCACCATTCTCTTCCCACTTTCCCTCCCCACCCCTTCCCATCTTCCCCCTGTACCCCCTTTCCCTCACAGGTCTTCCAGTGGGCGCTCCATGCGCCCTTCTTCTCCCCCTCCTCCTCCCCCCCCATCCTCTCCGCCCTCCTTCTCTCCGCGGCTGCCCAAGGGAAGATCCGCCACATGCTCCCCCTCCTCTCCTCCGCACTCCCCCAGGGTGTTTCCCCATCTCGCCCCGCTTTTGAAGGGGTAATCCGGTCGTTGCTCCTCGCCGCGAAACGGGCCGAGGAGTGGAAATGGGAAGGGGGGAAGGGAGGCGCGGGGGGCAGAGGGGGGCGTGGGGGGAAGAGCGGGGGGAAACGAGGAGGGGGAAGGGCAGGGGGGAGGGGAAGGGGAGGGGAAAGTGGAGTGGGGGAGGAGGAGGGGGCGGGAGGTGGGGCGAGAGGTATGGGAAGGAAGATGAGGGAGGAGATGGTGAAGCTGGAAGAGAGTGCATGGGAGGTGTATGGTATGATGCAAGGCCTTGTGGGGAGCACACACACAATACTACCATCACCACCAGCACAGGAACAAACACCCGAAGCAATTCTCAAACCCACTTTAAAGTCCCCACCCTCCTCTCCCCCTCCATCCTCACCCCCATCCTCCCCACCTTCCGCGAAGCTTCTCTACGAGCTATATGACGTGTTCAGCCGCCCATCCGCCCGCGGCCGCCACGTCAGCAAGCTGGAGCAGCTACTTAAAGACCTATCCGCCCTAGGAGCCCCAATCACCCCCCTCATGCACTCGCGCTTAGCACAGCAGCTTGCCTGCCTGGGAGATATCGACAAAGTCGACGCGCTTTTAGCTAAGATGTGCTTAGCTAAGCTCCCGATCCCGGCTCCTGCTTTAGAAGCGGCGGTGATCGCTTGCGCTCGGGCGTATCACTCGCAGGGTCCTCTCGGGCAGCAGGGAATTTTGGCCAGGGCAGCGGGGAAGTTTTTGGCGTGCTGACCGGGCTGCCCGAGCGGGCAGCGAGGGGAGTGAGGGAGGTGGAAGAGGCAGGGTTTCGGCCGAGTCAGGAAGTATTAGTGGCTTTAATGGAAGTGCTTAGTAAAGCACAAAGATACCAAGAAGCAGTGAGTGTATGGCCAAAGGTGGTTGAAGCAGCCGAAGCTGCCGCTGCTGCTGCTGCCGCTGCTGCTGCTGGTGCTGGAGGTGCTGAAGCTGCTGGTTTGGTGGACAGGTCCGGCGCCGGACCGGCGTGGCAGGCTCGGCCGAGCCTGCGGGCGTATAATGTGTATGTGGAGGTGTTGAGTGGGGCGGGAGAGGTGGGGGCGGCAGAGGGGGTGGTGAGGGAGATGGGTGAGAGGGGCATGAGGCCGCTAACGAAGGGGTTCAATGCGGTGCTGAGGATGCATGTAAGGCTCGGCATGGGTGCTGGTGGTAGTGCGCTGGATATCCCAGCAGCAGCAGAAGCACCACCACCATCAACACTATCACCACCATTACCACCACTACCACCACCATCGCCATCACCATCGCCATCACCATCACCATCACCATCACCATCACCATCACCATCACCATCACCATCACCATCACCATCACCATCACCAGCAGCAGCAGCAGCAGCAGCAAGGGATGCAGCAGTGCGTGTTTTCAATGAAATGACCGCCTTTGGAAGCCCGGCGAGCAGTGAGGCATGCAACCTGCGCCTGCAGATGCACCTGCTGGCACGTGACTGGGATGGCGCGTGGGAGATGTATGGGGGTATGAGAAGGGCGGTAGAGGAGGGTGTGAAGAGAGGGGGAGAGGGAGGTGTGGGAACGGCAGGAGGGGGTGGGGTGAGGGGAGAGAGGAGGACGAGGGGAGGGGGAAAGGGAGGGAGGGAGGGGGAAGAGAGGATGACGGGGGTGAGGGCAGGGGGGAGAGGCGAGTGGGAGGGGAGTGAGGAGGAGAGTGAGGAGGAGTGGGAGAGGCATGGTTGGATGAGGAGGGGAGGGAGGGGGGCGACTGAGGACTGGGGAGCAGAGGAGGATAGTGAAGAGGAGGACGAGGATGAATACGACGACGAAGAGGATATGGAGGAGGAGGAGACAGAGAGAAGGGAGGAGGAAGCTGCAGACCCACAGGTGGACGCGAGAGCAGCGCTGCTGCCTGTGCTGAGTCCCCCCAACCAGCACACGTATGACCTGCTGCTGCTGGCTCTGGCAGAGGCTGGCGATGTGGGGGCCGTGGAGCGAGTATATGAGGATATGTTGAGAGAGGGGGTGCGCGGTGGGGTGCGGTGGGGAGGAGTGGAGGGAGACGAGGGCGAGGAGGGAGAGGAGCAGGAGGAGGGGGATGAGGGAGAGGACGAAGGGGCGGAGGGGAGTGAGGGGGAGAGGGGTGGAGGAGGAGGGGTGGGGAAGGCTAGGCGGTTTAGCCTGCAGGGGAGAGTGAAGGAGGTGGTGGAGAGGCTGTTAGGGGTGGAGAGAGTGAGAAGGGATGAGGCTTGGGCTGCTGCTGTAGCAGCCCGAGGGGGATCAGCAGCAGCAGCGATGGCCTTCCTTGGAGCAGCAGCAGCAGCAGGAGTGGGAGGAGGAGGAGCAGGCATGGGTGGGAGTGGGAGAGGCTGGGGGACGGTAGTACTGGGGGAGGCGGATGTGACAATGGGTCTCAGGCTTACAAGGGAGCAGCGGCAGGTGCTGGTGGGGGCTCTGTTAGCCGGCGCAGAGGTGGAGAGTGCAGATGGGGGCGTGACTTACTCTGTAAGATTCTCCCAGCCTATTGGGGCGGGCGGCGCGGCCGGCGAGGATTGGCGTATGCGGGTGCTGGACTGGCTGTATGAGGTGTTCCTTCCCTGGGTGGCTGCGCCGCCCGTGGATGTGACTGTAAGATGGGGAGAAGTTGGGGAAGGGGAGGGGGGTGGTGTGGGGAAGGAAAGGGGGAATGTGGGAAAGGAGGTGGAGGATGGGGGCGGCACCATTCGGGTGCGCACATTCGTTACCATTGCGCACCCCTCTCTACAGTTTTACGCCCGGCAGTTTCGTCCTGTAGTGAGGGACGCGGCCGGGAAACGGGGCGGCGGGGAGCCGGTGGTTCCTCGTCTTATTCATCGGTGGCTGTCACCCCGAGGCATGGCCACGTGGCTCATGTGTAACGGGTGGGCTATTAGAGGGGATGGAAGCAAGGGTGGGAGAGAGGTGAGGGGGGAGGAAAGGGAAGAGGAAGTGGGAGAGGGCGCGAAGGTTGAAGCGATGAAAAATTATGGCGATAACACGGGTGGTGGTGATTATAGCCTGGTATTTGGAGCGGAGGGGTATTCTGCCAAGGAGGTGGCCTTGGTTGTTGCAGCGGTGGGTGCGAGAGTGGAAGATTGCGCCTGGAAGAAGGGATCCAAGGGGAGGAAAAATGCTATGAGGTTCAGTGGGCTGTCTGCGCGAGTCACTTGGCGAGCCATGGAGCCTTATATGGTGGATGAGGCGAGGGATGCTCTTGGCCCTTGATAAAACTTAACTGAATGATGTTCTCATGGTTTCCACTGGCTTCCAAGTTCTGAAATCGTACTGCCAAGCAAAGCGTTTCTGTTACGTTGTTCGCGAATTCGCGAAGTGTGACGCCTCAGCTCGCGCAGCTTCCAGGGCCACAAACAATCAGATCGAAAAGATTCGCCCGCCCAATCACGGCTCACGACGATCCTCCATCCACCGACACGTAGCGCGTCTCGCTCGGAAAACCCTCGAAAGGTGATTTCCGCACACATCTCTCCACGCACACACATTCCTCGCTCAATTCCCACAACTGACGATTACGGTTCTGTAAGGTGATTTTTGTTTCAAGAGCGTTGAAATCAAAACTAAGAACGGTTTAATATGGTAGTGAGTGAAAGCCAACGCCTAGTCTCATCATCATTCGAACTCACTACCTACTCGGGTCTCGTCGTTGTTTATCTGCCTGCCTCATTCGTCTGAGCCGACGCCATAAATTCCTTCGCCGCGCGTTGCGTTCCGTAGCCGCTGCGTGCAGCACGGGGCTCTTGTTCCCCGTACGGCGCGGGATTATTCCCCTCTGACGCGGCTGACGTGAGCAACGCATTAGCGCCGAAGGAATGGCTAGTGGAGGTGACGTTAGCGATGGCAGCAGTTCGATCAATCACAGCCGTCCGAAGGACGGCTACGCTGCCGGTCCCCCTTGGATTTTTAAGGGCAGGTTAGTTAATGACGTCCCATTTCTTCAATGTACCGAACGGAGGCGGTCTTACCGTAATGCGCTTTCCCTAAATTTGAGTAACCCGTAATTGCGAAAGGCTACCTCGCGGAAAGTTGCGCTACAGAGGCAACCTGCCCATTTCGACTTTCTGATCGTCGCGAGTCGCTATTGAGAAGTCTCACAAGAAACTCGAGTGAAATCTCACTAGGCTTTTGCGTTTCGTCAACGTTGGAACGTTGGTCCGCTCGTTTGCTTTTTTTTTTTTTTTCACACGAAGAAGAATTGAGAAGCTTCTCGCACGAAGCGTCTTTTCGAGAATTCCCAAGTAACCCCCCCGCTATTGTCACTCTCAAGGTGAAATATCCTTCATTCAATATTCTCGCTACTGTCACTTCCAGGGCGTTGTACCAACTGAACCTGGTCAAAGCTGACGTGGCACGCCGCGTCGTTCCTCCGGAGCTCAAGCTCGTCGAAGCCTTCGGGTAGGTGCTGTAGGTTTCAGAGCGGTCACTTTCGTTTCAAGACGGTCATCTGGGTCTTAGATCGGTGCTCTGGGTCTTAGCGTGGTTCTCTGGGTCGCAGAACGGTGCTTCAGGTTGTAGAACGGTGCTCATGGGTGGTCGCAAGTATTTTCATCACAATCTTGTCACTCATGTACGTCAGTATCCATCACATCACAGACGGGCGGGGGTGCTCCAAGATTTGAAGGAAAAGGAGGCCTTCGCCCTCTCACCCTCCTCTCACTCACGCCCCTTTCTCTCCCCAGAGGCACCCTGGACGGAGTGTGATATGATATGCGCAGTGCAGTAAGACTGGAACTCCGCTGGACCTAACAGCACCCATCCGAACCCCACTTACTCCCCCACCACCCCCCAGGTACACCCTGCGCGGCGTCTACTATGAGTAGTACAACTCTCTCCTCTGTACCTAACAGCACCCACTTGCACCCCTCTTACAACCCCACCACCATCCAGGTACACCCTGGGCAGGGTTTACTATGCGCAGTATGACTCGCTCTGCTGTGCAAGCCAGTACAGTACCCACCCGCTCACCTCCCTCTCGCACCCCTCTTACACCCCATCACCCCCATCACCCCCCAGGTACACCCTGGGAGGGGTCTACTATGCGCAGTATGACTCGAGTCCGGCAGGGAAGTTTGATGAGGTACGACTGGGGAAGGCTGTATTCAGCTGCTGGAAACAGGAAGGATGCCTTTTGCATGGGGAGGGGAGGAGGAGTTTGGTTTGAAAAAGCATGGAATTGATTCGGGAAAGGAGGGATCGTTTTGGAATGGCATGGGACTGGCTGTGAAGTGAAGGCGTTTGGAAGTGGATTGGCGTCGATCTGACTGCGTCAGTAGTTGTTGTTTTGGCTGGTGGCGACATCAATCCCTGAGGTCGGTAAAACCATCCCTCCCTTGCACTCCAGTAAATTCTCTCGCCCCTCTCGCCCCTCTCGTCCCATTCACCACCTTTCCATTTGTGTGCTCCTAGTCTCTGCCATCCCTTCTCCTCCAAACTCCCATCCTCCAAGTTTCCTGCCAGCACTCTCTTTTCTTCTCCCCTCTGATCGCCTTACCTTCACCCGACCCTCCCCTTCCCCCTTCGCCCATCCCTCTCCCCCATTCGCCCGTCCTTCTCCCCCTCCGCCCGTCCCTCTTCCCCCTCCGCCCGTCCCTCTTCCCCCTCCGCCCATCCCTCTCCCCTCTCCGTCCATCCCTCTCCCTCTCCGCCCATCCCTCTCCCCTCTCCGCGCGTCCCTTTCCCCCACAGCTCGTCATCATTCCAGGGATTGTGTGGGACCCGCCTGCCTCATGCGCGTGAGTCCCCTGCCCTGTAACCTTGTGATTTCTGTAACCCTGTAACCTTGCAACACTGTAACTTCGTTATCAGATGCCCCTGCAACTGTTGACTCTGTAACTGTGTTTCCCTGTAACCCTGCAGCCTCCATCCCTTGTCCTGCTACGCCCTCCCTCCCTCCCCTCCCCCGCCCCCCAACAGATACGCACACACACGCACACACACACACACACGCACACACACACACACACACGCACACACGCACACACACTCCCACATTCACACATACGCACACACACACACACATACGCACACACATGCACACACACGGACATCCTCTCTTCAGTACTCTTCTCCCTCCTGCACCTTCCACCCATTCTCACATCCCCCAACTAACCCCCTCATCCTTCTGTCTGTCCTCTAATACCCACCACACACACATCACGTCTTCAGTGACTCCCCTTTCCTGCACCTTCCACCCATTCTCTCATCCCTCAACGAACCCCCATGATCCTCCCCACCACCCTCCTGTCCTGCTATGCACACACACACACACACACACACACACACACACACACACACACCCATCTTCAGTACCCTTCCATACCAAACCCTCCACCCATTCTCCCATCCCTCAACCACCTCCCACCCACCGTCCTTCCATTTCCATCTGCGATTTGATTTGGTCGCAACAGGTGGGCGACAGCAGTGATGGTGGACAGTGCCACAGCCAGAGACCACGGTATCAAGGTGTGTGGTTGGGTTGGGCCGATTTCGAGGGTTTGGCTGGGCTGATTCTTGTGGCGCCTCAGACGTGAGACAATTTTTTAGGCGCCCTAAAAAGGGAGGGCGGCAGCAGTGATGGTGGACAGTGCCACAGCCAGAGACCACGGTATCAAGGTGTGTGGTTGATTTGGAGGGAGGGAGTGAGATGGTTTTATAGGTGCCTGAAAAAAGGGCGGCAGCGGTGATGGTGGATAGTGGGGACCACGGCATCAAGGTTTGTGTGTGGGCCGATTCGGAAGGTGTGGGTGGCCAGATGGGTGAGCTGCCTCAAAACTGAGACGAAATTTTAGGCGCCTAGAATCGGGCTGCAGCAGTGATGGTGGACAGTGCCCCAGCTAAAGCCCAGGGCATCAAGGTGTGTGAATGGGCTCATACTGAGTAATTGTGCAATGCTTGTGGTTCTAATGCATGTAATTGTGACAATTGTAATTCAGGCCTCTCCTCTCGCAATTCTTCCGCCACTCCTTTTTCCCTCCCTTCCATCTGCAGGAAGTTGGGCTGCCAAGCCGATTCGTCTCATTCAACAAGGTACTGCCTGGGTGGTGTGGTGTGGTGCGGATGGGTGGCGTGGATGGTGGTGTGGATGGGTGGTGCTGTGGATGGTTTCTGTGGATGGGTGCTGCGGATGGGTGGTGTGGATGGTTGCTGCGAATGGGTGCTGCGGATGCATGCTGTGGATGGGTCTGGATGAATTTCAACACATCGAGACACGCGCATGCTCGTACACTCGCCCACTAAAACTCACATGCGCACGCACAAACGGGCGCATACGTGCCCACTCACCTTCTCCCTCGTTCACATCCGCGTTGACAGTTACATGTGATGCCCTATCCCCATAAGACAGACAACATACCAAAATAATTCAAGGCTACACTACACCCTTCCCATGCTCCACCTTGCCCATGCCCCACCTTGCCCATGCCCCACCTTGCCCATGCCCCACCTTGCCCATGCCCCTTGCCCATGCCCCACCGTTTGCCCATGTCTTTAGGGCAATCGTCTCAGTCCGTTGCAAAAACCTCTCCCCCCAACTCCATCCCTCCATGCCTTCCTCTTCCCCATCCCCATCTTGCCTGTGCCCCACCTATTGCCCATGTTTTGTGCTATGGCGTGCAGAAGCTGCTGCCATTGCCTCAGTCCGTCGCACATACCTCTCATCTCAACCACTTCTCCCTGTGCCGTGCCCCACCGTTTGCCCATGTCCTGTGACATGCTGTGCAGAAGCTGCTGCCATCGCCTCAGTCCGTCGCACATACCGCTCCTCTCAACTCCATTCCCTCCTCTCCCTCCACCCCTCCACTAAACGATCCAAGTGCCTCAGCCCCCTCCTCCTGCTCCTCATCCTCCCCTTCACATGCACCTGCCGAGGCTCCTCTGCAACTGCTCTCCAGATTCGTCAACCCCTGGGGAAAGGGGCGGACACAGAGGCTGGGAGGAAGCAAAGAGGGGGAGTTCCTGCAGGTGTCTGTGTGTGATGGGGGGAGGGGAGGAAGGGGAGGAGGGAGAGGAGGGAGGGAGAAGGAGGGAAAGGGGGAGGAAGGGGGGAGTGTGAGAGACGGAGAACCTATGTTTGAACTTCGTATGAAGCTGCCATTTCCAAAAAGTAAGAGGGACCCCTCTTCTGAAGAAATGCATTTCAAGCTTGTGATGAGACAATTTTTGAATCGACTAAAAAATAGTCCCATCCCCACAAGGTAAGAGGGACCCCTCTTTAGAAGAAATGCCTTTCAAGCTTGTGATGAGACAATTTTTGAATCGACTCAAAAATGGTCCCATCCCCACAAGGTAAGAGGGACCCCTCTTTTGAAGAAATGCATTTCCAGCTTGTGATGAGACAATTTTTGAATCGACTCAAAAATAGTCCCATCCTCACAAGGTAAGAGGGACCCCTTTTGGAAGAAAGGCATTTAAAGCTTGCATAATGCATTCACTTGCTCTGAGTGCTCTTTAGACTTGTTGGCTTCGGAAATTTTTCTGAAACACCTGCAATTCTCAGATTCACCCTGGACGGTTTGTCCTGTAACGCTTTCCTTCTGGCGTAACGGTAACGTCACATGGGCGATTTCCATCTCCTGTTTTTGTGCCTCTGTTTTCCCTTCTGACATGTTGATTGTCTCTGTTTTTCCTTCTGACATGTACATTGTCTCTGTTTCCCCTTCGGACATGTTAATTGTCTCTGCTGTGGGACGTTTTGCCCTCGGTCGGTTCCTGGCCTTATTTGACAAATCCCCTCCCCCAACCCCCTCCCTTCCCTACCCCTTGCCTCCCTCCTCCTTTTCGACCTGTGTCTCATGTTTGTGTGTGTGTGTGTGTGTGTGTGTGTGTGTGTGTGTGTGTTTGTGTGTGTGTTGTGTGTGTGTGTGTTGTGTGTGTGTGTGTGTTGTGTGTGTGTGTGTGTGTGTGTGTGTGTGTGTGTGTTGTGTGTGTGTGTGTGTGTGTGCGCGCGCGCGCGTGCGTGCGTGCGTGCATGCGTGCGTGCGTGCGTGCGTGCGTGCATGCGTGCATGCATGCGTGCGTGCATGTGTGCGTGCGTGTGTGCATGCATGTGTGGGTGTGCATATCTCCCTGTGCTAACATCAGAGCTCGTATCCTTGTCCCGCCTGCCCTCCATCAAAATGTCACTGCCTAGCTTCAGGTGAGCCTGCGTGTGCTGTTTGAATGCATGCACGCGTGTGGGTGTATCCCCATTCCACCTGTCATGTGTGCATGTCTCGCTGTGAGCTCGTATGCTTGTCCCGCCTGCCCTCCATCAAATTGTCACTGCCTAGCTTCAGGTGAGTGTGCGTGCGTGTGCTGTGACAACCAGCGTTGTGGTAACCAGAAATCTGGATACCAGTTCAGCTGAGCGTGCACTGTGGTAACCCGCATTGTGGGAAAAGACAAGGCAGGTGAGCTTGCTCTATTGTAACCAGTGTCGCGGCAACCAGCTCCTTGTGAAATTCTGCATTAAACAACAATGTGGTAACCTCCCCCAATGGGGCTTATTCAGATAACCAGCAAGGTTGTTGTGATCAGCAGCTGTGCTCTCGTTGCTGTGCCTCCTGCAGTGTGTGATAAGTCGAATATTTAGTTTACTAAAAAATTCTCAAGATAACCAGCAAGACTGTTGTGATCAGCAGCTGTGTTCTCGTTGCTGTGTCTCCTGCCCCTCCTTGCATCACCGTGCCCATTCCGTCCTGCGTATTCCACACTGCCACATGTCACCCCTCCTGTTCCACCCTGCCACACATCACTCTTCTACTTCCCATACTCCCCCTCCCCCTCCTCCAGTGGCCGCACAGAGGCTCAGCCTGATCTGCTGAAATACTCATGCGACCTCTCTTGCCGGTGAGTCCTCCCTGTTTTATCATTTTGATTAAACAGTTTGATCTCCCTGTTTAAACATTTTGATCTACCAGTTTCTTCCAGGTCCATTTGCTGTGCCTTTTCATGAATGGCATGGCCTCTTATCTCCTTTGTAGGCAAAGGCTTTCCTGGTTCTTACATAGATTTAGTCTCACACCCAGAATCAGGGTTTTGATTCAGGCTGTGACTATGCATGGGATGGGAGCAGACACACATTATTCAGGCTCTAGAGTCCCTTGAACCGTGCTGATGCACACACTTATCCACTTAACATTCTGTTCTGCTCCATTCACTGCGGCCCACTCCTCTGTGCTCCTGCAGTGTGTCCCTCATGCCGCCTGCCACCACCCGCATCAGCCCAGCCTACCGACAGACCTCTCCCACAGGTGCTGCTGGCGCTTCAAATAACTCTGTCACTTCCTCCAAGGAGCAGACTGCTGGCAGAAAGAGTCAGGATGTGGTGGTTGAGGTGCTCTCTGGTCGGCCGCTGATTGCCATGTGTTTTGAAGGGATGGAGATGAGAGTGGAGGCGCCGACTCGGGTGGTGTTGCCTGCGACGACGGTTCCAAGGGGAGTCAAGGCTCGTGATGTCGTTGTTGCCACGAGCAGCTTGCAGTTCGAGGTCAAGGATAGTGTTGAATCTCCTGCCGTGGCTAAATTCAAGTCTGCTTGAATTAGACCAATCACTTACTGGTAATAATTTGTTTCATTGTATTTATTGTCACTATCTAATGTAGAGAACTTTTTCGCTTCGGTGTGAGTGTACTGAGGCTCGTGTTCTCCTGAAACGGGTCAACGATCTTTTAATCACGAACCTCGTGGTCAGGATCTCTTCACGTATCCACGTCAGCACATAAGCGACGTGGCCCATGGAGGAACCTCTTGTTCTGCCATTGGGCCCCTTCACCCACACTCTTGGTCAGGGGCGAAAAAGGTGTATGGAATGGGCTGACAGATCAGCAATCTGTACAGACCGCTAATCTGAACGGTTGCAGTTTCAAGACATAGATCCCTGATGGTTCTTGCTTGGGAAAAGATCATATAGGGGCCGAACAGTGCCAGAGAGGTGATCGAACAAGAGCCGAGAGGCCCGGAACTAACCAAACCACTGCACAAAAATATATTCGCAGAAAGCCAGAATTTATTGAACGGATGTCTGCTAACAGCTTCCATTTTCTATCGAAAGTCATTTTTCATGGAAATCGTTAATGATTCATGACCTTCCACCCAATAGTGTCGTCTAGCAAGCCAGAAACTCTTAAGGTATCCAAAAAAAACTAAAACCCCTAGGGAACCTAGACGCATATTCTGGATGGATCAACCCTTAAAACGGGAACCTTCGTTGTGTTTAGGGTTGATGCCTCCCTAATCGCATCCATTTCCGAATGGGTAATATTTTTTTATTGCACGTTTCCGAACTGGTAGCGATATGTATCACCCGTAATGAATTATTTTGTTTTGAACTCACAAATTAACACGACAATTTTTACTTTCAGAAGAACGTGATGCGCCCGTAAGTAGCAGACGGCGGTCGTAACATTTTTTAGATATGATCGACACGAAATATGGTGCCGATAGTCTTCTAGTCATGGTTTGGCTTGTTTGCCTAGCCTCTTGGGCAGCTCGGGGCTAAAATCCTACGGTCAAGATTTTCTGGCCCTACTTTGGTCATCTCTCTGGCACTCTTCGGCCCCAGTTTGATCATTTCCCTTCTTGCTTTCCACGTAGAGTGTACTTCAGAGATGCACCAACGTCACGAAACTTCGCAACACACACGACGAACCGAAAGTCCGTGCGAACTCGAAGGGCGAAACGAGATTCACTCACCAACCACCTGTCGTTTGCCATCTGGCGCTAGGAGCTCTTCGCATCACTCATTTTGAACCTTCTCCGACCGTCAAAGGGGTCTCTCGCTCCAGCCCAACTGCAGGGCGCCTGTATCCACTGGTCGCCACACCCAACCGAAATGCTCTCTGAAAAACCTCTCTAAACCGAACCATCCTTTCTCTCAAGTATTTCGGCCTTAGGATTTCCTTGGGAATCCCAGCCTTGGAAACTCCAATTTGTTCCCTCAGGCTTCTTCCATTCACGGAACTTGTTTTTGCTGACATTCAGGCATTGATCTGGCCGTCGGGCTCATTGTTCTGCCGAGCGTGTCTGTGATTTTGGAAGAGAAGTGCTTCTGATTTCTTAGCTTCCTCGCTCAGGGTCCTTTTTCACGATAAGACTGGGGATTCCGAATTAAAAAAAAAAAAACGAGGAGTCGCTGCCGAACAAGAAGCGTACCTTGTAATCGTAGACCAACGCAGTAACCATGGCGGCTTGTGCTTCTACGCTACACAGCTCTGCAGCTCTAGTTGCAGTGCAATCTGTTTCACTCTCCTCTGGCCAAAGATTAGCCATCACCAGCAGCCTATCGGCGACTTGGCGAAACGTTCGCCAGGCGTCGTCGCCGTCGCATGGTCGGCAACAACGCTTCGCCGTGAGAGCAGCTGCGGCTGAAGAGGCGTCGAAGAAGGGTTCGTTTCGCCCGTCCCCTTTCATATTTCAACACGGAAATGCGTTCTTTTAATCGACTTCCATCTTTCAGCGCGCAATGTGAATTTATTGCGCTTGTCTGGTCCTAGTCATCTCTCTACATTTCTTCCCTGAATTTAAACGCCTGCAGCCTCCAGCAACGATAGCGAGAGCGGCAGCGACAGCGAGGTGGACGAGCACATCCTGCCGTACTGCGACATCGCGAAGAAGAAGCAGCGCACGCTGGGCGAGATGGAGCAGGAGTTTCCGCCGAGACGTCTCATATACATGCTTTATCACATTTATCGCCTGCAGATTCCAGGATCTGCAGCGACAACGAAGTGGACGATCATATTCTGTCGTGTTCTTCTAGTCATCTTCATCCTTTTGTTTCTTTATTGTTTCCATTTTGGTACCGCATTCCTCGCCTCCAGCCGCCGGAAATGACAGCGGGAGCGGCAGCGACAGCGAGGTGGACGAGCACATCCTGCCGTACTGCGACATCGCGAAGAAGAAGCAGCGCACGCTGGGCGAGATGGAGCAGGAGTTTCTGCTGGCGCTGCAGGCGTACTACATCGGGCAGGACCCCATCATGACCAACGAGGAGTTCGACCTGCTCAAGGAGGAGCTGCTGTGGGAAGGCAGCCAGGTCGTCGTGCTCTGTACGTTGAACTCGTCGTACTCCTTATAGGCACGTATACTCGTTATAAGAACATGTTCCCACACGATGCCATCTCCTCCCCCTTATCGCCAGTTACAGACGAGATTGGCACGAGCGCATGTAAGTGTTTTGTCCCTGCCTAGCAGCCGGACAAAGCGGTGATGAAGCGTACATGGTCTGAGTCGACTGAATACTCACGTTAGCCACAGCTGCCAATGAGCCGCCATGACTCGCCATGAGGTCGCCTACGCGCGGACTGTATTGCGCCTTTAGTCACTTCCTTCTCGGCTCTAGTCTCCGCATCCCAGCCCGACGTGAATTCAAGAAATATGGACAGCATATCAGCCCTCGGATGATTCGTTTCTAAACACCCATCTTCCCGTCTTGCCCTTCTCGTTTGTCCCTCTCTATGTGTTTTCCAGCCAAGGACGAGCAGAAGTTCATGGAAGCTTCCTTGGCGTACCAGGCGGGCAAGCCGTTCATGAACGACCGCGAGTACGACGAGCTCAAGCGAAAGCTCAAGGTGCGGTGCTGTGCGGTGTGGTTTAGGTCGGTGCTGCGTGGTTTTGTGTGGTGCTGTATGGTTCTGTACGGTGCTGTGCTGTAGCAAGCCGAGCACGAGTGAGTAGCAGAGCGACAGTACGAGTAGTGGTGCTAGCGGTAGTGCCGTGCCGTGATGTGCCGGGCTGCGACGCGATGTAACGTGCCAGGCCTGGCTGTGTTAGGATTTTTTTCTTCTTCTTCTTCTTTTAACATCTGTTCCGAAAAGAGGAGAACAACGAGATACTATCATCATAACGGATCATGTGTAGCCCGTTGTGTCTTTCGCCCCTCCATCCGTCCATCCCCGTCCGTCCCCGTCCTTCTCCTCTGCCTGGCCAAGTGCAGCAAGGTGAAATTCCAGGTCCCCACTCGTCGCTCTCCATCTTCATTGCCTCCTCTTCCTTTCCTGTCCCTTCCTCCCTGTCCGTCCGCCTCCTCCCCGACTCTCCCCATCCTCTTCCCGTCCCTCTCCTCCACCCTCCCCCGCGCCTGGCAGGCCAAGGGCAGCAAGGTGGCGATTGAGGGCCCTCGCTGCAGTCTCCGCACGCGCAAGGTGTACAGCGACAGCATGGTGGACTACCTGCGCATGACCGCACTCAACCTGCCCGCTGCCATTCTCGCCCTGCTAGTGTGAGTACTCCCACTGGGTGGGGTTGTCTCGTCACCCATCGTACACTGCCTATCCGCACGCTCAAGGTGTACAGCGACAGCATGGTGGACTACGTGTGCATGACCGCGCTCAATCTCCCAGCTGCCATTCTTGCTCTCCTCGTGTAAGTGCTGCCACCACCTCTCCCTGTGCCTCGCATCGCAAATCATGTGAGGGCCACTGGCAGTTGCCTGTCTTTTCCTCTCTCCGCACGCGCAAGGCGTACAGCGACAGCATGGTGGACTACGTGCGCATGACCGCACTCAACCTCCCCGCCGCCATCCTCGCCCTCCTCGTGTAAGTGCCCCTACTGGGTGGGTTGTCGCATAACCCACCGACACTGCCTCTCCACGCGCAAGGCATACAGCAACAGCATGGTGGGACTGCCTGCGAATGACGGCCCTTAACCTCCCCGCTGCCATTCTACCGCTGCTCCTGTGAGTGCTGCTGTTACTGCTCTCACTGCGGCTGACCCTGCAAGGCATACAGCAACAGCTTGGAGCGCAGCCAATCTGGCGCAGCCAATCTAGCGCGGCCAATCTGGCGCAGCCAATCTAGCGCGGCCAATCTGGCGCAGCCAATCTGGCGCTGCTTGTGTGAATCTACCACCGCCTTTCCCTGTGCCTCACACTGCAAGCCGAATATTGCCCATTGGCAGCTGCTTGCTCATACCTCCCATGCTGTGCTGCATACAGTGACAGCATGGTGTGGAGTGAACTACCTGCGCATGAACTACCTGCTCAACCGTGCTCATTGTCCCTCTATGTTTCCCCCTCATTTCTCCCCTCCTCCCCCCTTCTCCTCCCGCCCCCTGTTCCCTTTCCTCTCTTTCCTGCATTCCTCATCCGCCCCTTCCCCCCACTCTCCCTCTCATCAGCGTGTTCTTCTTTGATGACATCAGCGGATTCCCTCTATTTCTATTCCCCCGTCCCTAATTTTTTTCCTGCATTTTCGTGCCCCACTCCTCCCCACCCCCCCCCCCCCTCCCTTCCGCCCGCACTCCCCCCCCCTTCCCTCTCTACAGCGTTTTCTTCTTTGACGACATCAGCGGATTCGAAATCACCTACCTTCTTGAGGTAATTATTCAAAACACCCTTTCTTGCCAAGGTAGTTAAAATAACCTACCTACATACTCGAGCCATTCATTTAGATTCCCCTACCTACTGAGGTAACTAACCTGCTTTGCCATGCCACTCCTCCTATCTTACTCTTCCACAAACCACAGTTTCCCCCAGTACTGATTAACATGGCGACCTCAAAGTCGTTCAAGTATGCTTTCATCCCAATGCGAGCCGTGCATTCC